CTCATCTGGCTGCCGTGAGATCATGCGCAGCAGATGCTTAACATGCTGCGGGGCACAGGGCTGACGACGGGCCGGGGGATGGACGGATGTGTTGTGTCCATGTTGGGAAATCGCGGTGCGTCGGAAAGGCTTTTTCATGCCAAGAGACTTAGCCCTTTTTTTCTTCCCTCTAGAAGGAACAAAAAGCCTGCGGTTTATTCTTATCACAAAACCACCGCTTCGGCTGGCTTGTGCAGACCACACTGTTGTTCCCGCTCTCAGTCCCTCGGGTGGCAGCTGATGTTTTTTCCCCCCCCCCCGTCAGCCAGGCCTGGAGTGCAGCTGGAGAGCAGTCGTGCCAACAGACTTCCCCGCATGACTCGGCACTTCTGCGGGGACTCTAGTTGCCTTCAAAGATCCAAGCAGCAGAGTGATAAAGACTTGTGTCCCGGAAGCAGAGTGGCCTCGGCGCCTCAGGCTGTGCCCGACCCCCACTTGGTGTCGGCATGCGGGCTAGAGGGTTAGGCCAGCCTCCCGGCCCGCTCATGAAGCCCCCAAACCCAGGCACCAGAGCAGCTGCAAAATTGTCAAGCTAGGCATCTCCGGAGGGTTCTGTCTGTCTCCCCCTCATCTTCCCCCTCGCTTCCGTCCCCCTGAGCCCATCACTTCAATCAAGGACGAGAGAGGATGCGTCATCTCTTTTCAGTAGCAGAGTCAAAGACCCTGAGCACCTGTCACTCAGGGGGTCTGGTCAGGGGCGCATGCCCGAGGGAGGAGACCCCCCACACGCACTCAGGGCGCGCACACGGATGGCTTTGCGTTCACGCCTGTGTGCAAACACAATTTGCATGTCCAGGCTTGTTTATGAGAGCTGGGCATAATTGGCTTGCGGGCTCAACACCTCGGAGCCCCCACACACACACACACTCCTCCCCCTCCCCCGCGCCCCCTCCCACCCGCACACACCTCGAAAGAAATTAGAAACGTGACAACGAACTCCAGTTGTCGAAAACCCACAAATCTACCACCGCTCGTGCGCGTTGGGCCCGGCTGAGGGGGTGGGCCTTGGCATGGGGGAGTAATTGGTGAACCTGAGGTGAATGAAATAATTGGAAAAGTGAGGTGTGAGTTTGTTACTGAAGTGTGAGCGTGGTGGGGGACGAAAGGAGGGCCATGTTTAAAAGCCCGGTATGTCCTCTTTATTCACAGCTTCTGATACAGTAATTGCTATTTTGTGGTTTCTATTATCTACACAGTGGGGAGTGGACGCGTTTCCTTCCCCACGCTGTGGAGTCTGGGCTCGGGGGGAGCTCCTGGGTGCCCTGGGATTCTCTTCCCTCTCTGGGCCCTGGCGGCCCTGCCCGGGCTCACCCAGATGGCGGCCTCGGTGCCAGGAGACCAGGGCTCACACACAACTTCCTTCTAAAACCGCTCTTAAAAATGGCTCCCTGGACTTTGCTGTCAGATAAGAACCTTAATAATGGCTGGTATTTATGTATCGCTTATCTCCAAGGCGCTAAAGGTACTTCATCGATTTTTCCCCCCCCCAACCCTATTTTTTTTTTCCATTTTAATTCTCTTTCGATATCTCTCCGAGATCATTAGTATCGGCCTCATATTATCCCGCAGGGTCATACAGGAACCAGAGCCCTCCACTTCCCCGGCATTGTTCTTAAGCCGGAAGGGACTCCAACCCCAGCCGTGGGACCTGGGCAAGTCGCTTCACCCCGCTGGCCCTTGCTTTTCTCATTTGTAAAAACAGAGGCGGTTCCACAGCTGTTGCACCTGGAAACCACATATTTAAAAGGCCTAGCACGTTCCAGGCACTCTGGACAGCGGCAGCGACGGTGTCTTGACGTCTCAGCTGTTCATTTCGGGGTTTCACAGGCATCAGGAAGTTCCTTCTAAGATCTAACCCTAATCCCCCAGCTGCTGCCTGGGCCCAGCTCTCTCTTCTCCCTGACGCCCTGAAGCATGATGGGGTTTGGGAAGCTGCTCGGGTCTTGGGACACAGTGTTTCATTTGCCCCGCGGGTGGCTGCCTGGAAACCCCAGACAGAGGCTGCGACCTCCCCGCAGTCCCCAGCTTCCTGGGACAGGACCCCAGCTCCCTCATCCCCTGCTTGCGGTCCCTCCCGGATCCAGGGTGTCGCGGCTCTCCCTGCTGAGATTTCAAATGCCACTTCTCCAGGCCACATAAGCACGGCTCCTTCAGCCTCTGCTCATCAGCTTTTTTCTCCACCTTTTAATTATTTTCCTCGCCTTTCTCCGGACCCTTAGCTGCTTACCATGCACAGAGCATCCACAGCTTGCAGTGCACTGCAGAGGAGGAGGAATTAACCTCTCTCTTTCCCTCCCTCCCTCCCTCTCTCTCCCTCCTTCTCTCCCCAACATACACACACACACACACACACACACACACACACACACACACACACACACACACACACACACACACACACACAGGCTGGCTCACCAGAAATTAGACAGGGCTAAGAAGAAATAAAAAAATAAGCAGAGGCCGTTGAGACCACCAAGCGACAGGACTGTAGCCCCTGTGGGCAGAGGGGGAGGTTTGCACGTGGGGCAGGTGGAAGGACCTGGGACTCAGTCAGCCTCCCGCATCCTGGGTCTTGGGCGAGTCACTGGACCCCTCGGAGATCACGCAGGGCGTTCCTAGCCACCCCCACAGCCAACCTTCCTGCTTCATACCAGATGGGGCCCAGCTCAGAAAGAAAGAGACCCCGTTCCTGGAAGAAAGTGGCCAGTCCCCTCCAGATAACTTAAGGGGGTGGCGGGGGAGATACTGTGCAACGGAAAGAGAGCTTAACATCGGACACGCCCGAATTCACATTCTGGCCCTGCCGCTGACGAGAAGGACTGCTGCCGCCCTCACTCTCAGTTTCTCCATCTGTAAAATAGGAGTGGTGAGGCCGATAACGAACATTCGAGCTGTCGGTGTGTGCCCCATGGCCTGTTCCCTGGACTGCTCGTCAGCCCTGCGCACAGGTGTAACTCCCTTCACGGCTACACTTTGCTTGTCAGTTCATTCCAAAAATACTGTCAGGCGTCCACTCTGCTCCAGCCACGGGGCTCCTTGCTGCAGGTCTTGTGATGAACAGAACTCGCAGAGCCGAGTTCCAGCCCCAGGGGAAGGCAGACAGCTATACCCCAGTGAGCCCCGAGTGCCAGCAGGGCACCTAGCCCTGCCAAGGGCAGATCCGCACAGGCTGCTGAGGCCAGCGCTGGTGAAGCTGAGGCCTGGAAGAGGCCAGAGGCTGGGGCAGGGGGAGAGAGACCAGCATACCCATAGGTTGTCTGTGACTGTATAGTACCTGGCAGGGCCCAGGCACATAGGTGGGCTCGCCGAGGCCTCCCTGTGCCCGTCTGCCTTCTCGTACCAGATCTGAATGCTTGCAGACCCCCCTCGGTCCTCGGGGCCATCAGATGCACCCTCCCTGTGGTCCCCACAGCTCTCTAAAGAACTTAGAGCCAAAGGACCATTTATCTGAAGGCGGCTACAAGGAAACTCAGCCGTCGCCTGCCCTCTGTACGTAAGGCCAGTCCCGGCAGAGGCCCGGGGCGTCCATGGAGGAAGAGGCAACACGTCTGTCATGGGACGCGCCGGCCTTTAGGTGGCAGAATAAAGCAGGGTTTGTGGGGATAAAGCAGCTCTGCCACCACATCTTCTTGCTTGTCCCCACCTGCCCAGCTTCTGGGCCCCAACCCGCCCCCTCCAAATCTGCCAGGAAGACTGACAGGGCTCCACTGCCCATCCTCTCCAGCCCCTCCCCTCCCTGGGAGGCTGGCCTTGTCACCAGCAGCCCAGTTTCTGTCGCCTGCTCGGAGAGGCGCCAGGAGGGGGGAGGCGAGCTGCCGGGGAGAGCTCCGCGGAGACGTGCAGATTCATTTTGAGGACTCATAATGCTGCATTTACACACCGTCCTGCCTTCAGAAATTGGGCTGGTAGATGCCTGGTCATGCTGGCAGGGCTGTGGGTTAACACCTCGGATCCAGCTTATATCATTTCACGAGAGCTTACGGCCTTTACCGTGTTTTTTACCCCAATCAGTCTTTGGCCCTGAAGCATCCTAGACTGTCAGTGTACGTGTGTGTGCCCTGCCGCTCGCAAGTGTGTGTAGATTTTCAGATAAAATAATACCTCTCTTCAGATGCCGTGCACATCAAATATTTATCGGCAGCAATTTGCACGTATATATTTGATAAATGGACGTTAGGACGGGGTCGGGGCAAGGGAGCAAAGCGGGAAAGCAAGGGAGGCCCGATCCTTTTGTCCAGGAATTCCTCTAAGGTTTATTGGGGGCAGGGGTGGGAGGCGAGGAGGGTCCCAGGAATGGTCCAGGCTCTGTTTACCTGTTAGATCCCTGTCTAGAGGAGCCAAGCCGTTTCCTTCTCCACAGCTTTGCCTGAATTTGACTTAGCAGATATCAAAACGAAAGACCAGAGGGAGGGGAAGTGGGGTTTACAGGGAGTCGCTGTGTGTCATTTGAGCAAGCGCACAGCACTGACGATACATCCCTGGTCCTGGGCCTGGGAAAAGGGGTTCATCCTGCTGGTTCAACGCAGAGCTCTGCCGTGGGGGTTGATTCGGGTGGAGAGACCCCGCTGACCCCGAGGCCAGAGTCCCGGCTGGCACACACGAGCAGCCCCTCGCCTCCCCAGCCTGGCCACGCGTGTGCAAGGCTGGACACCCCCTTCTAATGACTTACCCCCACGGGCCAGGGGCGAACGAGTGTGCCGGCCTGTCAGAGAAGAGCTGAGCACCGTCCACCAGCATCTCCCACCTGATGGTTCCCTCCGTGCCCAGTGTGGTGGCCGGGACCTGAAGGAGCACGTGCTGGCCGGTCGGGAGCTGACACGAGTGTGCGTGCACGCGTGCACGTGTACCCCTGCCAGGACTTCCGTCTTCTCTAACTGGAAGAATGAGTATATGAGCATCGGTTTCTGCCACCCCCCGCTTTGCTGCCCTTAATTCTGAAACCTTTTGCCTTTTGCTCCTAGCACTTTTGGGGAGTTGAAGACCGTCCGCTTACCAAAGAAGATGATGGGGACAGGCACGCACAGAGGGTTCGGCTTCGTGGACTTTCTTACCAAGCAGGACGCGAAGGTGAGACCAGGGCCCCCCCCTTCCGGGCCCTTTGTAAGAAAAGCAGCAAAGCGCTTAACAGATGTGGGCGTGTCACCACCCCCATGCGGGTTGTCTCCTTTTTTGTCTCCCCGACCCTGCTAATATTCACGGCATCCTTGGAAGAACAAGCTCTGGGTTTTGTGTTCGGAGGAAGGGGCAATTCTGTGACCGTCTCCCTCCCTCACGTCACATGCGCAGGGACCTGGGATGCAAAGTGGGGAAGTAATGGGGTTCCCAGGCTTTCCGGGTCAGACAGAAAGGTGCTCGGTCGTGAGCTCCCCAAGGCGGGCAGCACAGGGGACGCTGTGCAGAGTACGGAGCGGGCTCAGGGGACAGCGCTCGCAGAGGACAATCCAAGGCACCCAGGTGGGGACCTGTGGGGACACGTCTTCCCCTTCCCCCTTCCCACTGGTGGCTGGGGCTTCTGTTTTGTGCTGGTTGCGGGTGAGGGCAGCCCAGGCAGGTGCTGCTATGTACAGAATCCCTCCAGGCTCCCTGGAGACATAGGCCTCCCTTCATTTTTTAAGCAAAGCCGCCTCTCTGAATTTGGGGCCTCGTTCTTACAGTGGATACTGACTTGGGTCCTTGCCCGGCCCAGCAGCAGACATGGGGGCAGAGGCTGTGGAACTGGGGTCCCGGCTTTGTCCCTGGTCGCTGCCCTCACAGCCCCAGGTCAGAACCCCCAGGGGAGCAGGCAGTGATGCTGTCCTCTGTCATCGTGGGCTCCCTCCGTGAGCCTGTACCCTCAGGCAGCGTCCCTCCTCTCCGCCTTGTCGTACAATAAAGCGTCAGGCAGGTCTCACTACCGGCTGGGAACCTCCCCGTTCATTCCACCTCCGATGATAAGCAGAAAATTTGTTGGGATTGCACCCACTAGCCTTTAGCCAGAGGCCCAGTGGGTGGAGCCAAAGGTGACATCTCAGGGACACAGCTGCGGCCTTTGTGGGCCCTGGGAACACGCGCAGGCAGAGGGGGCGCCCCCAGGACCTCAGGGAGCCTTGCCAGCCACCTTTGTCTCTGCGTCTTGAGCTCAAGTGCCTGTTTTGTTGACACGTGGCCACGTCTGTCCAGACATCTGCTCCTCTTTCTTCTCGGCTGGCAGCCTTTCCCTCGCCTCCCATTGTGACAGCAGGGGCAGCACCCCCTGTGTGCAACAGGCCCCCCTGCCTTGGTACTCGTCAGCAGGGCAGGCACCTTTGCGGTCCCCGCATTGGCTGAGAGGGAAGCCAGGGGGACAGCCGTCCAGAGCACCAGCTGTTACCACTGGCAGCACAGCATTCCTAGCCACACCCTGTGCCTCAGTTTCCTCATCTGTCAAACAGGAATGATAACAGGTCCCACCTCCCAGGGTGAAGCCAGATGGCACAGTGAAACCCTGGCACCCAAGTGGTCCTCCTTGTTTCCACAAGCCCAGGTCCCTTCAGAGCCGGCCGGCCCCTTGTCCACGGACGGAGCAAAGAGCAACACGGGACGGCGTGGCCCACTGAGCTCTGGGCGTCCGAGGGGGTTGGGCCAGGAGAGCGCAGAGCCGTTGTCATCTGTTTCATATCAGGGTTCCTGCATGAGATGATGACCGAGGGAGAACTGAGGGTGTCCAGTCCCTGCCCCTGAGAAATGTCTCTGAGTAAGGGCCAGTGTCAGGGCTAGCTGTCAGAGCACAAACTGGGAGGCCAGACTGGCCGAGTTTGAATCCTAGCACTGCCACTTGCGTGCCGTATAACCTTGGGCAAGTAACTTACTTTCCGTGTGCCTCAGTTTCCCCCCTTACAAAACGGTAGCAGGATTTTCCTCATGAGTGGCCGTGAGGTTTGGAGGAGGTGATATGCTTGGGGCCCGGACCCTGTGAGCTCCACCTAGTTAGTAGCTATGACGAAGACGATAACGGTGACAGTGGTGACGGGTGGTGACGATCTGAAAAGAAGAACGGACGGGGAAGGCGCAGAGAAAAAACGTGTCAGAGTTTCTTCAGCTAGAAGCCATTCTCCCGCATATGGCCTCTCCCCAGCGCCGCGGTTGATGTCAGAATTGATATGGCTCGTAGGGCCTAGAGGGTTAGACCAGGCACAGGCTCCCAGCCGTGACCATTCCACGCACCCCACTTCCAGGACGCAGCCATCATTAAATCCAAAGGGGGGCTCTCAGGTAGACAGGACAGCGCGAATGCCCGGTGGGCCTGCACTCCACACAGAGACCAGGCTACAGATGTTCTTTCCAGAGCCCAGCACAGCTCTTTCCAGAGCCTGGCACAGCTCCTGGTGATTTATGGAGGTGGCCCCTCCCCTCCACTCTTCCCCGTCTTCGATCCTGGGCTCCCAGAGGTCGAAGGGCACCAAGGACAATGAGAACTCAACCCATAGCCCCTCGAGACCGGCTCTCGCTGCCCCCGGCCTCCAACAGGCGGCGACCTGGCTCCGGAGCTATTTCTGGCCCTCTCCGCCTCATCCCAGCAGCAGCAGCTCTTCCCTGTCACCGTGTCGTCAGGACGAGGGCCCTTTGTGCCCGCCGCCAAGCAAGCCGGCCTTCCACGAAATCGGAGCCCACCGGGAGCACCTCTCTCCTGCAAAGCTCTTTTGCTCTTTTCGCTTCCCGGAGGAGCGCCTTGCTTCTGCCTCTCCTTCTCCCTGTCTGTCTGAAGAACTTTATTGTCTTCCGAGTGGAACAGTCAGCGCTCTCCACTGACCCACAGAGCCGTGCGCGCTGCATACTGCTGAATAGAATTGTGAATATTGTAAATATCTAGTTAGCTCGAGGGTGGGCGTGCGTTACAAGAGGGTGAGCAATGCTGCATGGAGAAATTGAGTAAAAACAGTTCCTTTTTTTTTTTTTTTTGCCTCTGCAGAAGGCATGCATGGGCCTCCCAGAGCTGGCAGAGGCACCTTCGTGACCCCCAGTCTCTCGAGGCAAGCTTCCCTAAGCGACTCTCCTTCTTTGGAAGCGCCGGGGGAAACAGACCTTTAGGCACCTTCCCGGGCTCGCTGGCATCCTGACCCACTCACCTCCCTCACACAGGGCTTTATCCCCACTTCCTACCATGGTGCCCTCGGTGAAGAAGTCGGGCACTCGTTTGGCATAAGCACCTGCTTCTTGAACCTGGAGCTGTAAGCCTCCTGTGGGGGTCCCGAGCCGCCCTCAGAGGGGAGGAAGAGAGAAGGGGAAGAAAGATGAAAGTGAGTGGGGAGAGAGGCAGGGAGGGAGCAAAATCTGCTTGTAGAACCTTGAGTCCGGAACGCAATGGAGAAACTAATGGTTTCTGGGCAGGGCTGGTGACAAGGTTTGAGCCAGGTACAGGGGCTCCCAGCACAGTGCTCTTTCCTGCATCTACCAATCCACTTTGCCAGCTGGCACAGGAGAGAATTCAGCCCCTGAGAGAATTCAGTCAGTCCCCCAGCACCACCGTCTCTGCCTGTGCCCCAAGCAGGTGTCATCGGCGTGACCCCCACCCTCCACCCTGCACATCATCAGGAACGCCGTTATCTGGCAGGCCCCTCGGGGTCAAGCACATACCCCTCAACTGGGAAGAGAATCCCAGCGCGAGGCTCTGAGAAGGCTGTTGTGGTCGAGCTCAGAGTAACCAGGCAACTGATGACAATATCCAGAGGCGCCCACGACCCACAGTGCCGGCTTTGTACATGACATGTACACCGCACGTGCATTGTCTCGTCCCAACCTGCAGCAGCCCTGGGACTTGGGCGGGAGGTTTGCGTAACTGCCTTCCCGATTCCCCGAGCATTTGCTAAGCTTCCCCTGTGGCGCCACAGCCGAGCTCTGGGAGTCGAGGGGCGGCCCAGACCTGCCTCTGCAGTGGGAATGCTGAACTGGGCGTGAGACCTGGCTCTGTGTCCTTGTCACAGGCTCCATGAGCTGCATATCCCCCCAGCCTAGGACATCTGATCAGCCGCCGATGTCCCAAGCAGAAAATGGCGTTCTCTGTGAAAGTGCCGGTTATCCAAACCTCCAGGTGTGAAGATCCCGGATTTCTCAAAGAACCTTTCCCCACGTGGTGGAGAGAAGTAGGTGGGTAGGCAGAGGTTGACGAGGGCAGACAGGAAGTCCAGGAGTGGCACACACCTGAATGCAGCAGGCTTCCTGGGAGCCCTGGGTCTGCACTGACGTGCGGCTGTCCATAGGCTCTCAGGCACCACACGGCCCTCTGGGACTGAGGATGTTTCTGGAAGAGCAGCATCTTTGCGTGGATAAAAACTCTCAACTCCTAAAAGCCCGTCTTTGGCAGGGACAGTATTGGGCATTTGCGTAGGTGATTCCTAACCCTCCGGGGACTCTAGGAGACGAGGGAATTGGAAGCCTCATGACAGATGGCAGAACTGAGGTTCAAAGGGGTGAAGTCACTTACCCAGGGTCCTACAGCCAGTGCTGAGCGGGGCTGGGAAACCGCCTCTGTCAATCAGACTCCAAAGCCACTATTCAGGACGTCCTCCATTCACTGATCCACGAAAACTGAGGGCCAGCCCCCTCCTCGTTCCACCACACTCAGCACCCCTCCCCCATCCCTAACACCTCACCAAAGCAAAGGACTCACTAATGAGTGACATTTTGGAAGAAGACCATGAGGTTGTTCGTTAAAACAGTTCTTGGGAGCAAGTCCAGGATGACAGCAGCTCCTACCGGGGCCGGAGGAGGAGCGGGCCCCCACCAGCTCACTGTGTCTCCTTCCAGCTCCCCCAGCCTACGGGGCTGCCTCCCTCAGCCAGCAACAGTCTACCTGAGCAGGTGACCTGGGGTTCCCACCCAGGTGTGCCCGTCCCCATTGGCCGAGAGGCCACCAATAGCCACAGGGATCCAAGTAGAAGCCGCCGCCCCCTCGCTCTTCACCCAGACCAGGCCGGTTCTGGAGGAAGAAGGGAAGGGCCACACGGAAGGACGGGGACGAAGGGGACGTGGCCCGGACACAAGAACGTAACTCCTTCCCCCACGTGCGCCTTTAATTCTCCTTCCCCGAGCCCGCCGCCCTTTTGTGCTTT